AACCACTCTTTGAGACTCCAGTTGTGTTTAGGATCTCTTCACCTGCATGTCCTTCAAATATATATACCCAGGCTAACTCTCTTCTTCCAGTGTTTTTTAACAGTCCCTGTTTTAGCTGCATTTTTTTCTTTTCTTTTCTTTTGGCGCTACTGGAGATTGAACTCAGGACCTTGCTCTTGCTAGGCACTGAGCTTTCTCCCCGGCCTGCAGTCCCTGTTTTGATTCATAGTAGCCTTTGGGTATCCAACAAAGAAGCCTGATAGCCATTATTGATCCCTCTTATCTATTGCTAATACCATTTTAATGTTTCTCAATTAAAAACCCTTTTCTTTGCTTGCATACTTTGACCTCAGTTCATACTCTTATTCTCTGTCTAGAGTGATGACAGATGTCTCTTTAAAATTCGTCTTTGATTTCTCTTCCACCCTGCTGCCTACTACAATTCTTTATAAATTACAGATATCATGTTACTTCCTGTTGCTTAGGGCAAAGTTTGGTAAACTATAACTAGTGGACAGCTCTGGCATTATGTGTATTTTGTGACTACAAATTCTATTGGAACATGGCATGCCTATTTGTTCATGTTTTGCATAAGCTGCTTTCATGCTGCAACAGCAGAGTTGAGTAGTTGTGACAAGGATTGTATGGTCCACAAACTTGTGTATACTCTGGTTCTTTTCAGCGAAGGTTTGCTACTAAAGTGGCTTAGAGGATAGAGTTCATATTTGAGTAGTAAAAAAAAAAAATCATTCATGACTTTGTTCTAAACAGGTTTTGATCATTATCATTCTCTAAAATACCCTACTTCTAGCCTTATAATTCTGTATATTTTATTTCTTTGTCACCTGACAATTCATGCTTCAATACTCACTTCAATTTATATAAATTTGTCGTGATGTTTCTTTGCCCCAAGCTGTCCTTGACCCACCCAACTGAAACCCTCAAAGAGGAGACCTCAATTTATTTCATAAATCAGTGTGTGGGAATAGCTACATATTTTCTGCTTATAGAACTAGTTATAACAGATTAATTTACAAAAAATTAATTTTAAAATGAATTTCATATGGGAAATAATTTTCACCATTTTAACCTTGGAATGTTATCTTAAGTTCATAGTGACTTTCCTTATTCTTGCTTTTTAATCAGGTAATACCTAATCTTTCATGAATAGTTCATAAACATATCTACAAAATATCTTGGTCAAATGTTCCTGTGTTGCCTTTTGTTTTAAGAGGTAGTTAAAATATTGACCCATCACCTTGAAATTATAGGACTTCCTTTTGTCCTTGTTAGAGTATATCTGGAAAGTCCTGTTTGTCTTGGAAGAATTCAACCATCATACTGTCTCCATTGTATTGGGCAGCAGTTTGAATCTCTTTTTCTGCCATCTAGCTGTTTTTTCTTTTCATTTTTCCTCGTGTCCCTATAGTTTTCTCTGTGCATCTACTTTCTAGGGTGAGCCAGGAGTTGAAAGGTAATTTAAGATGTTTGGGGTTTTCTCTTGTGTCCCATTCCTAGCCACAATTTCTTCTCTGAATTTCTAGCTGTTTCATCCTCTGGCCTCTTAGTAAGGCCAGTAAGATTGAATTTTTGCTTGAATTTTAGCCACTTTGTATCACAGGGATTCCCCTTAGAAGTGCAAGAGAGCTGTATAAAAGTGGATCCTGCTAGGCATGATGGTGCATACCTGTAATTCCAGCACTCGGGAGGCTGAGGTAGGAGAATTGCTGTGAGTTCAAGGCCAGCCTGGCTACATTGTGAGTTAAAGGCCAGCCTGAATTACAGAGCAAAACCCTTTCTCAGATGGATGGATAGATTGATAGACAGACAGGGTCCTACTCATTGTGTTTTCTTTTTTTCAAGAGTTACATCCCTCCAGATTTTACCAGCTTCTTAATACTCTGTGGTGGATTGTAAACTGGTCAGCTTGTTACACCCAGCTGAACTGAACTACTGTGGTGCTGGATTTGGGAGGCCCACCTGAGGATTGTTGCCGGCAGCATAAGAGGCAGAATTAGAGAAGCTGTTGGGAGGCTGCTAGGGAAGCTATTTGGAAAAGCTATTGGGAAATGTTAAGGAACTGCTGGTTCTCTTGGGCTATTCTGCTGGAGGACCTTGACATGCTGGCTTTCCTGATGAACTTGGAAGTTCTCAGTGGAGGAGGAGCTCAGGACCTCATTATCACTGAAAATGGCTGTGCTTCACTTTGGGGGAACTTTGGTCCTCATCTTGAGCATTATTTCCTAGCTTAGGAGGGGAAGATGGTACACAGCTCAGCTTCCTGAAGAGGCTTGTCATGTTGGCTTTCCTGATGTAAACTCATCTTTCCTCATCATTGGAGGAGCTCAGGACCTCACTGTTGCTGAGGATGGCAACTGCTCTTTAGGGGAACTCTGGTATTTATCTTGAGCATTGCTTCCTGGCTCCAGATCAGATCCCTCAGCCTGCTGGCATTGACTTTCTAGTTTTGGCCACTGATCTTTGTTTGGGCCTTCCCAGCACAGATCCATGAAAATGACTTGCATGAGACGTTGTGGGCTCCAGGCTTCTGTTTGGACTACAGAGGGCATTGTTAAGGGTTCTAGGTTTTCAGTTGGACTCATGAAGGATATTAGGATATTAGGATCTAGGCCCTTAGCATATGGGCAGATTTCTTGCACTTCCCTTTTGTAGATGATTCTTAGGGTGATTCATTATAAAATAATCTTACAAAATGTTTCCTATGTTGTATTGTTCCCCTTGCAAAACCCTAAACTACTATATGCTCCTTAGTAATTTTAAACAGTTTTTATGTTTGTTGTTCTTTTAGAATTTATAGTGGCTCTGAATCACTTTTTATTTTTTTTTTTGCAGAACCAGTGATTGAACTCAGGCCCTTGCGCTTGCCAGCCAAGTGCTTATTCTACTGAACTGTCTCCCTGGCCCCTGAATCACTCATTTGGACATAATTTCTTTGTTTTAGAAATCACCATAATATGCCATCCTTTTAGCTTTTTTTTTTTTTTTTAATGGTGTGCCCTGCTATACACCTGACCATGTCATTTTTATTCACATTATTTTTATTTCTTTTCTTTCTTTCTTTTCTTTTTCTTTTTCTTTTTTTTTTTTTTTTTTTTTTGGTACCAGGAATAAAACTCAGGACCTTGTGCTTGCCAGGCAGGTGCTGTGCCATTGAATTATATCCCTGGCTATTTGTCTCATTTCTGTCTGTTGTCACCTATTGCTACATTATAGCTTTAACTCCAAAACCTAGTGACTTAAAACAGTCATTATGTCTACAGGAGTCTGTGGGTTAGGAATTTGGAGGGCATAGCCAAAATGATGTATCTCTGCTTCATACACATAGCATCTCACCCAGGAGAGCTCCAAGTGCCCTAGCCCTGGGCACTTTACTCACACACTGGCAGTTGATGGTAGCTCTTGGCTGGGACCCATGACTGAACTGTGGGCCAGAACACCTGTACCTGGTTACCTCACAGCAGGGCATCCTTGGTTTTCTGCATGGTGACTCAGGACTATAGAAGTACTGTTTCAGATAACCAGATCAGTGCTGCACTGCCTTCTATGACCTAATCATGGAAGTTGCATGGTAGAAGTTACATAACATTATAACATTGTTTGCTCTTTTTTTTTTTTTTTTTTTTGTTTCCTCTCTTTTGGTCAGCCAGTCTTTCTTTCTTTTCTTTTTTTTGGTGGAACCGGGGATTGGACTCAGGCCCTTGCTTATTCTACTGAGCCATCTTCCCAGCCCCAGCCAGTCTTTCTTGTTGACTCAAATTTAAATATTAGAACATAGCTCCACCTGTCAATGGGAAAAGTCAAGGATGTTTTTTAATGGTTCGGAAAATTGACTACCGGTCCTTCTGACGTGTTCTACCACTGATCTGCTCTTCTAACCCCCTATAAACTGGTGGGAAAATCCCTGTGTTTGTTTAGCAAATAGCAAGCTCCTTCTTATGTCTAATCACAGTCCTATATACAGCTCAGTGGGTACTTATTGACATACTAATTTTCTCTTAAATAGACTAGGATCCAAAACAGTTTAAAACTTTAAGAAAGGAATAAGAAGCATGTACTCAGGAGACTGAGACAGAAAGATCACAGCTTCCCTCTGGGCAACCTAGCAAGACCCCATGCCAAAAAAAAATTTTTTTTTTAATGGTAAAGAGGTTTAACAATTTTATTTTATTTTTTAATCTTTTATTCATTTTAATGAGAAAAAATAAAATACCAATGAAACAGTTTCAAAACAGGTTAGTAGGACAGTTACAATAATTAATCCATTGCATATTGTTGTCTTCATTGTAGTTATTCAGAGGACAAGATGTAGACATATCTTGTTTAAGCAATATTAGTACAAACCTTTCTTCTTCCTGAACTAGGAGAAAGTAGCTGTATATCTATCCTATCTTGTTATGCCAATTTTTTTAAAAAAGGTGTTGGGCAATGTGGCTGAATGATAGAGGACCGTTAGGTTTGATCCCTAGTATTTAAAAAAAGTATTTTTTTTTTTTTT